CCCCGCCGTTCGCCGCCGCTCCGGTGCTGAGGCGCCGCTCCGCCGTCCCGCAGGCAGCGGGCAGCAGTCGGTGACGGGCGTGTCGGCGGCGGACGACGGCAACAGCTACTGGCGCGTGCGGGGCCGCACGGCAGCCGTGTGCGAGCGCGGGGCGCCCGTGCGCTGCGGCCAGGCCATCCGCCTCACGCACGTGGGCACCGGCCGCAACCTGCACAGCCACCGCTTCACCTCGCCGCTCTCCGGAAACCAGGTGCGGCCGCACCGGCGCCCGGGCAGACCCGGGGCAAGGTCCCTGCTGTGGCACCGGGTGGCCCCGGGGGCTGGATGCCTGCGCCAAGTGGCTCTGGTCACTGGTTTGGCACCATGCCCCGCTATTGGGGTGTCCCTGCTGTGGCACCAAGTGGCCCCGGGGGCTGGACGCCTGTGCCAAGTGGCTCTGGTCACTGGTCTGGCACCATGCCCCGCTGTTGGGGCGTCCCTGATGTGGCACCGGGTGGCCCCGGGGGCTGGACGCCTGCGCCAAGTGGCTCTGGTCACTGGTCTGGCACCATGCCCCGCTGTTGGGGTGTCCCTGATGTGTTACTGGGTGGCCCAGGGGGATGGACACCTGCCCCATGTGGCCCCCAACAGTGGCCCAACCTCCTTCCGCACTGCAGTGACATCCCTGCCGTGACACCAAGTGGCCCCGGGGGATGGGGTTTGTGCCCCCAAGTGGCTGCTGGCACCAGCCTGACCCCATTCCCTGCTGCTGGGATGTTCCTGCTAGGACATCAAGTGGCGCCAGGGCCCCTGTGCCTGGCACTGGCCTGACCTCCTTTCCCGCTGCCAGGACATCCCTGCTGTGACAGCAGGTGGAGATGGGGCTCCTGCCCCAAGTGGCCCCTGTCACTGGCCTGACCCCATTCCCCACTGCTGGGCATCCCTGCTGTGACACCAGGCACTTGGGGAGCCCCTGCCAGCTGTCCCTGTGCAGAGGCACCCAAAACATGGAGAAACGGGGCCATGCCGAGTCCCTGGCACCGTGTGCTCCACTGCGAGCCGTGTCAAGGGATACAGTCCCCGTTCCCAACCAGGTGCCTGCTTGCAGGATGCCCTTGTCCCTGGGCAAGCGGTGCCTGTAACGGACTGTCCCCCCATCCTGTCACAGGAGGTGAGCGCCTTCGGGGAGGACGGCGAGGGCGACTACCTGGACGACTGGACCGTGGTGTGCAGCGGGACGTACTGGGCGCGCGACAGCGAGGTGCGCTTCAAGCACGCCTCCACCGACGTCTTCCTCTCGGTGACGGGCGAGCAGTACGGGCGGCCCATCCACGGGCAGAAGGAGGTGCACGGCATGGCCTCGGCCAGCCCCAACAACTACTGGCGCGTCATGGAGGGCATCTTCATGCAGCCCGGCGAGCTGCCCAAGGCCGCGCAGCACCACGCCGAGCTGTGACGGCCGCGGCTGCAGCCTGTGGGCTCCGCCAGGGCCGTGCAGAGACCCCCGTGCTGCCCGGGGCGCGGGCGCCGTCCCGGGACAGGGCGCAGGGCAGCGCCGGGGGCTCGAGGTCGCTCTGCCAGCAGTGCAGCCGGGCCTCGGGGCTTGGAGACGCTGAGAGGAGCGACAGCGACCAGGAGAAGAGGAGCTGCGAGAGGAGGAGCCGCGGAGCGCGTGGCGGGGAGGCATGGGGCAGCCCCCGCTGCCGGGGGGCCCCGCGCGGCTTGGGGACCATAAAGGAACTGAGCTCTGCACTGGCGTGTGCTCCTTTTGTGTGCGGGGAGAACGGGCCGCGGGTACCGCCCGGTCCGGCGCAGGGCCCGCCGGCCGAACCGGGCCCGTCCCGGTGCCCGCAGAGTGGCGCTGCGCGGCGGCGCGCGCGGCAGGGGGCGCTGTGGTGACTGCGCGGCGGCCCCGCCCCCCGTGGCCCCGCCCCTCCCAGCGGCCACTCCGGCTGCGCGGGCGGGCGGCCCCGCTCGGCGCCCGGTTACCGGACGGCGGGGAGCGGCCGGGCCGGGCCGGGCCGGGGCGGGGAGCGCCATGGCGGCGCTGCCCGCCGCGCTGCTCGGCCTCGCCGTCGTGGCGCTGCTCGCCGGGCTGCTGGCGCGGTCAGGGCCGCGGAGGCCGCGGCGGTGGCGGTTGGGGGGTGGGTCGTGGCGGTTGGGGGCGGGGGAGGCGAGGGGCTCAGTGGGTGGCGGCGGTTGAGGGTGTCGGGGTGCGGCGGGAGCTGCAGGGGGACCCTGGCAGGGGGGTCCTAGGGCTGCGTACGGGGGTGTCACGAGTGGGAAGGGGGTCGCGAGGGTTAGCAGGGTGCCGAGGTGCGTGGGGCTCGCCGGGGCTGGGGTACGCGGGGCTGTGTAGGGGACCCCAGGGGTGTTGCGCGGGTGGCAGCGGTGGGGAGGCCCCCAGGGCTGGGTTGGGGGTGTCAGGGGCTCGGGGGGTGCACAGGGTTGGTTTGGGGGGCGGGATGCAGCGTGGCAGGCGTTTGGGGGGCACCCACGGCTGGGTGCAGACTCATGGGGTGTCCCAGGGCTGGGTGGGGGGTGGCAGCATGTGAACGGGTTCATTAGCGCTTGAGGGCGGCCCTAGGGATGAGTAGAGAGTGACAGAGGTGTGGGGGACAGAGCCGGAGCCCAGCTGGGTACGGGGAAGCCCACGGCGTTTAGAGTGGGGGGCCGTAGGGCATGGGAAGGCACCGCAGGTGAGGGGTGTTGGGTGCCTTGGAGCTGGTGTTGAGGGCACGAAGGGGGCCCGTCGCAGCCGGCCCCAGGGAGCTGGACCGCGGCACTGCCGTGTCCCCGCAGGTGGCTGGCCTGTCGCCTGGCTGTCACCTGGTGTCGCCAGAAGCTGCAGGCGGAGCTCAAGATCGGCTCCTTCGGCTTCTTCTGGGCCCAGAACGTCAGCCTCAAGTTCCAGCGGGAGCAGCAGACCGTGGTGGGTCCCGGGGGGATAGCGATCGCCCACCCCAGCGTGAGGAGCGAGGCCTGCGGGACGGTGCTGCCGCCCCCGGAGCCGGGAGGGAATTCCTGCAGCCTGGCTCCTGTTGTGGAGCCCTGTAGCTGGTGCCGGGCTCTTCCTCCCCCAGCTGAGCTCTGGGATGCGTGGCTGCTCCTTGGTGCATCCCGAGTGATGCTGGCTGTTGTGGGCAGAGCGGGAGCGTGGGAGTGTCACAGCGCAGAGCGGTGGCCACGCTCACCTGCATGTGTGTCCTTGCAGGAGATTGACAGCGTCTGGATTTCCAGCAAACTGAGCCGGGAGCTGCCGTATGTACCCCTGCCCCGGCCCCTTCCCTGCTCTCTTGGCTTTGCCTGGGCTCTGCCTCATCCCTGGCCCTGCTGGCTGGGCTCAGCCCTTAGCATCTTCCTGCAAAGTTTCTTTTCTTGGAGTCTTCTGTGCTGTGCAGGCGGCGCCATTCGCTGTCCTGTGGCGTGGCAGTGTCGCGTGGTGCTGGTCCCACACGTCCCTGGGGCAGGGCCCAGAGTGCAGCGTGCAAGCTCGTGTGACAGTCCTTGCTGTTCCCTGGCAGACGCTATTTTGAACTGTGCTTCGGTGAGGTGCGAATCCGCACGGATCTCCAGAAGGGCCCTGCCTTCCAGCCTTCCTTCCCGAAGGCTCCCAAAGAGGTTGATGGAGAGGAAGGCCGGGACCTGACTCTTAAGCCCTCCCTGCTGAGAGTCCTTAGTCAGGTGAGACCCTGGTTCCCGGAGAGGAGGTTTCTGCTGTGCTTTCCCACAGCCCTCATCCTGCCACCTTTCTCCCAGCTCTTCTCCATCCATGTGGACTCCATCAACATCATGGTTCTGCATGTGGCCACCTCTGAGTCTCTGTGGCACATTCGGGCCAGCAAGACGCGTCTCCTCCTGGACAGTGACGGGAAGAGGTAGCTCTGTGCTCATGTCTTGCTCTGCTCGCCCAGCACAGCTCTGTTTCCCTGCATGGTTTGGAGGCAGCAGGACCTGCAATGTTAATGTGTTTTGTGGTCTCCCCAGCCTGAACTGCGAGGTGAGCTTGACAAAAGTGAACAGCAAAGTGCTACGGAGCAGCCAGCTGGTGAGTACTGCGGAGGGGAGGAATGCAGTACTTGGGACCCAAAGAGATCCTGTTCCAGAGCAGCCTGTCCCTCAGGCCAGGCAATGCTCAACGTGGCCCTAGTGCCCTGCAGGGCATCTGGCTGCAGAGTGCTCAGCTTCACGCTGTGCCCAGAGCTTCACCTGCAGCACCCACTGGCAGGGAGGATGAGAGACTCTGCATGCCCTCCTTGGCCCTGTCCCCGTGCAGGATGACACGTGCCTGGCGGAGGTGGCCCTGGCGCTCTCCCTCTCGCTGGAGATCAGTACCAAGCGGCGGCTGGTGGGTGTCAGGCTGCGCGTCCGGACCCTGCAGGCAGAGCTGCACGAAGGGCTCTTCTGCAGCCAGCTGCTGCAGCGAGTGACTGCTGGGACCCGGGACGGCAGCGTGGGGGACCAGCCCAGTACAGGTCAGGACACGGCGGGCTCAGGGCTTTGGCAGCCCCCACACTTCTGCAGTGAGAGGGATCTGGACAGGAGCCTTGCTGTGACCCTGTATCTTCTCCCCTAGGCCTGGGGCAGACCCCGAAGCTCGTGTCCTTGCTGAGCAGGGACACGTTGCAGCTCATCCCCAGGAAGGTGGAGGTGAAGCTGGAGAGCACCAGCGTGGTGCTGTCTGTGAACAGCCAGAAGAGGTGAGGGGGCAGATGGAGGGGGAGCTTCTTCTAATCCTGATATCGCGATGATCTGTCCCCCATATCTAATTGATATGGGGATGTGGACTTGGGGACACCCGTGTCATTCCCTGCTTGGGCCTACCCTGCCAGACTAACAAGAGTGTGCCTTGGGGACCCCTGTAGTGAGAAGGAGAGTAGATGGATATCAGGCTGTTAGGGAGGATGGTGGGATCATCTCCTAATGTGCTGGGCTGCAGCTGGGACAGGGAGACACAGATCATGACGGTTCCCTTCTGGTGGTGACTCCCTGCTTCTCACACAGGTACCTCACCTGGAGCCTGAAGCTGCTGCAGTTCCTATATCAGCGCGAAGAGGAGCAGATCCCACTGCGCAACTTTACCCCCACCTCAGACCTGGACCAAATGAGTGTAGACCTCCAGCTGGAGGGCAAGTAGCCAAGAGGGCACCTGCGGAGCAGGGCTGCAGTCATGTTCCCCAGCACCACTCACCTCTGCTCCTCTCTCACCAGATGGCCTTCTTCTGTCCCAGAGCCGCCAGCGCATCGTGTGCCTCAACTCCCTGAAGACAAGTGTGCAAGTGAGCAAGCACCAGGCGCATTCCTGTCACTCGAGGGGCTGACTTGGCTCCTCCTGCTGTTTTGCAGCCACCCCGTGCTCTCCTCCCACTAGGTCACAGCCATTGACCTCTCGGCTGCTGTGCTGCTCAACACGTGCATCATCCACTATCGCCACCAAGAGTTTTCACACTGGCTGGGCCTGTTGGCGCAGGAATACAGGAGCCAGGGAGTGCCTGTCCCCAGCCAAGGTCACAAGGGCAGGTAAACTCAGCCTCAGCGCAGCTGCCAGGGTTGCAGCTTGGCTGGCTGCTCCCTGGCAGGGTGCCCGGACACACAGCGCCTTCATGCACGGCCGCGGGAAGGGGAGGCTGCGTGGAGGCCAACAGTGGGCAGGGAGTCACCAAAAAGGTGTCCCTGGGGGCCTGCCCCCTGGCCAGCTCTTTGGCACACAGTGCTCCAGTAACAGACAATGTTCATCCTGTGTAGGAGCTGTCCCCAAATCATAGCACCCATCATCCTGTGTGCCTCGCTATCCAATGTCAACGTATCAGTGCAGCTGGGGGACACGCCGCCCTTCGCCTTGGGCTTCAACTCCATCTCTGCAGGTACAGTCCAGCGGCCGTCCCTTGGTGCCCATGGGGTCTCCGAGCCCTCCTTGGGAAGGGGCTTTACAGAGGCAGAGGGGCTGTCTGTGACCTGGGCTTGCAGCACAAGAATGGGGAGGTCTCTGTGCTTGCTCTTGTGTCCGTGCCTGGCACGGGGCTGCTGCACTGCTGCCTGCTTGTGTCTGAGTTAGAGTCTTAGAATTGTTACGGTTGGAAAAGACCTTCAAGATCATTGAGCCCGATAGAGTTGTGCCTTGCTTGGACTGGCACACTTGTCGGGCAACCACGAGCCTGCCAACACTGGCCTCCCGCTCTGTGCCCGCAGACTACCAGCACCTGCGGCCCCAGAGTGTGCACCAGCGGGCGGTGCTGGCCGTGGACCATCTCTGCTGGCGCGTGGGCAACGACTCGCACATCCAGCGCGCCCCGCACCCCCCCAACATGCACGTGTGGGGAGAGGCCCTCATCTTGGACTCCTTCAACCTGCAGGTGAGCGCTGAGCCAAGGGGTGACTCTGCGGGGGGCTGCCCGCCTGCAACGCTGTGCAAGGGGCACGGGGACATGCTGTAGCAGAGGGTATCCTGCATCCCAAGAGTGCTTGGCCTGTGTG